GTGAACAATAGTAAAAAAACAAAATGTAACCAGGGACAACTGTGGGTATTAATCTGGGATATCCCTTTCCTTTGATGTAGGGAAGGTGTTGCCTAGGATCCTACTGGACACACCTTTCAAAACCATCATTGATAAAGTTCTTCCGGAATCACTATGTGATTTCAGGATAACTCAGGCATGATCTTTTCCGTTAGGAGAAATACATTGAGACGGACCTGTAGATCTCGTTGAACTCACCAGGGCCGGTACGTACTACCTTTGAACCCTCCGATTGGGGAGCGGGGGCAAGTTTGTTGGGGAGCGGGGGCAAGTTTGTTGGGGGCCTGGGACAGAGCTTTGCAACCCTCGATATCTTATCAACATTTGCTTTTTTTTTTCTACCTATATTGATATACGTTACAAATTAAACTAACCACAACTGACTATTAAACGATGAAAAATTTTCACGGATTTTGATGTTATGCTGAGGTCATTTTTTCGTCCAGATCCTGAATTTGTTTTGCTAAATCTCGAAAAAACACTGTGTAAAAAAAAAAAAAAACACTATATAAAAATTCAATATTTTGTATCTATAATGTTGAACGTCTTTTAAAATTACTCAACTTTTTAACTAGAAAAAATCTCAAGTTGATGTTTAAAATTGCTGCAAAACATTGTTGATTTAAGATGGAATGATCTATTATGACATGTCTCAAATTATTTAAGATGGAATGATCTATTATGACATGTCTCAAATTATTTAAGATGGAATGATCTATTATGACATGTCTCAAATTATTTAAGATGGAATGATCTATTATGACATGTCTCTAATTTGTATTTAGATACATTGTATTTATTTTCAGTTTTTCTAGTTGAATTATTCACACTGAATATGATCGATTATTGTATATAATTAGGTTACAATAAAATTTGTATTTTATATGTATACTACCTTATGAAAATTGAGATGTAATAGTGTGGGGGTGATCCGTATCATAGATTGGATGAGGAGTATCATAGATTGGGTGAGGAGTATCATAGATTTGTGGGGAGCCCACGAGTCCTTGAACAGGCCGTGGATATCACAAAGACTTTTGATAGAGTGAATAGAAATGCCTGATGGAAGATTCCGAAGAAGCTTGGATAAGATGGTTTTTGTTTTTAGAGGTTTCCATGAAAGAATAAAAGCATGATGGTAAACTCTCTGGGCGAGTTGTTGGAAATGCTATTAAGCAAGAGGATATACGAGCATTAAATCTGTTTTCTTGATGGTGTTTAACGGTTTAACATATGGGGTCTGCATGCAATAGCGAACACCTGGTACGATGCTGAACGGAAGACATTTTGCTACCAGGTCAAAACTATTGTCATAACTATTTGCTGGCATTAATCATCCTAATGATACCCTTATGGATTTGCGATGGCATATCTTATGGATTATTTTGATCATCCTATGGCTCCATATCTTTAGAATGATATCTTATGGATTTCTTTTCGATGGCATATCTTATGGATTTCTTTTCGATGGCATATCTTATGGATTTCTTTTCGATGGCATATCTTATGGATTTCTTTTCGATGGCAAAAAAAATGGCATATCCCGAAAAACAATGGCAACAAAATTTCTTTTCGATGGCATATAATGTAACAATGGGCACAGGTCGATTTTTATGGATTTCTTTTCGATGGCATACAGTGCTTAGTCTAACGATTAGCCTTAAAAACAAAAAAAAAAACCCCAAAAAACAACAACAAAAATGACGTAATGTAACAATGGGACAGGTCGATTTTAGAAGCGTGGTATTGCACTCAGTTTGAAAGCTGTGGTCTCACATGATACATAGCGACACAAAATATATTTTTTTCAAATCGTTGCAGTTTTTTGAGAAGATGATTATGTTTAAGTTCAAAATCGTAGAGTTGGAATTTCATTCCGGTGATCAGAGAAATCATGGCTTTATAAAATTTACAATTTCAGTTGTGTGCCATGCGTGATACACACGTAGGCGATCATGTATCTTTCGATATATTACTGACGAGGCAGATTTTTTCCCCACAGTACGTTGCCATTTCTTTCTGCGGTAGACCAGTTGCCATCCAAGGGTATAGAACGCAGTCTGTCCTGCCACTCATAGATGGAGAGGAGGGAGAAGAAGAAGATTCATACCTTTTCAAAGGGTATTAGCACATAAGTGAATATAATGGATTCGAGTGGAATTCGAACTCGGTTCTCCGATTCTGAGCCATTATCCATTACTCCACCGTGCCTACTCAATTTACTGAAGCTTTACAAATTGTATATGGGCAAGATGCATAGCACAAGCGCATTATTATTCAATCATTGTGTCATCAAATAAGACCTTCATTTACTTCAAAGGGAAATTATACTGAACAGTTTAGCGATATTACGATGTAATATGTTATACGGTGCAGCAGTTTTAGTTTGATTTCCAGTAAACAATGCAAATATAAAACATTTCGTCTTATAATTTGTGTCCAACAGTATTGTCCTACTATATATGCTTTTATCTACTTTTTTGTTTTTATTATTTATGATTTAACAAATCTTATTCATTGAGTAACCTTTTTTTTAATAATATTTTACAATTTGTTCACAGAGTTTTTACGTATGGAATACAATAAAAACATTGCATATTTTGGTTTGTTTTGGTTTGTTTTACGACATATCAACCTCAGTGGGTCATTTAATGCCGACAACATTTTTTTTTCCTGGTAATATTTTGGTTTTGTCAAAAATCTATTTCTGTTAATATTATTTCCTCAAACAACACTATTCTTCCAAAAACGTATAGCTGGTAATATTATTTTTTCAAAAACGTATTATCAGAGGCCTTGCTGTTGGACGTAGTTTATCGTCTTACTCAGGACGCGGATGTAATTTATCGTCATACCCAGGACGCGGATGTAGTCTTGGTGTTAACTATTTGCCCATAGCTGGGACCCTAGCAGGTGCTACCACCCGGGTCAGGATGGACTTGGGAACACCAGCAATTAAGAGGTGGTTCCACGCTCCTCAAAACCTCCTGATCAGAGGCCTTGCTGTTGGACGTAGTTTATCGTCTTACCCAGAATGCAGATGTAGTTTATCGTCTTACCCAGGACGCGGATGTTGTTTATCGATTGCATATTTTGCTTGTGGTGATTCATAATTACAATTCTGATTTGAACATATTTTCCATTTAATATATTTAATAAAAATATGAATTTTATTTGAACTTATCCTTGAAATAGTAACATTTTGGAGTCATTTTGCAATCAAAAATCAGCGGAAATTAGAGATTTCTGTATATTTTTTTCAGATGATCTTTAAAATTAAATGCTCAAATATTGGTCAAAGCTATGAATCTAATTTTTGGTGTCAGTACTTCTTACATCAAACCCCAGCTCTGACATCGAGTGCAATATTGATTCTCTAAAACAGTGAAAAAGCAACCTGCCCTAGTGTATCAACCTATATATCTAGATAAAGCCCATTCTGAGCCAAGCATTTATGCACATGACCCGAAACTGCAGGTTGTGGAAAAGTTAATGTTTTTAGGCAGTGCTGTAAATATGACAAATACTCTTGATGTTGAAACCTCCCATCCGAATCAAGAAGGTCGGTAATGCTTTCAGAAAACTGGATAGACGTCTATGGTCTCAGTTCGGATTTTCGATTGAGGCGAGGTGGTAAGTTTACAATGCTTAGGTTTTGTCTTCATTGCTGTATACATGTGAGATCTGGGTCACTTACCGGAGACCTATGAAAAGGCTGGAGATATTTCCCCAATGGCCAATGTGCGTTGGAGTGATGTTTACATATATATTGGATATCCGGTGGTGTATGCACGTGAGTGATGTCATTAGAGGGTACGGTGGAGTAATGGGTAGTGGCTCGGACTGAGGAATCGGAGAGCCGAGTTCGAATTCCATTCGTGTTCATTCCATTCACTTACGTGCTAATATATTTGGGAAATGTACGAATCCATCTCCCCCAAGCTATGGATAAATAGCAAGACTGATTGGGCCTTATAGCATTGGTTGGCAACCAGTCTAGGAGAAGGAAAGCTCTGAAAATGGCTGTGCTCCATCAGTCTGTTGTACCCATGAAACACCATGGCTGCAGTAGTAGTGCCCCTACTAATAGTGTTAAGGTATTCGCAATCAAATTTTATACTATTGCTCATCTAATACAAGGTTCTCTTACGTGCTAAGACTCTTGGGAATGGTATGGATACATCTCTTCTGCGAGCTATGGGGAAATAGCAGGACAGACTAGGTCTTTATAGACTAGTGTGGCAACCGGCCTAGGAGAAGGACAATTCTGAAGGCAAAACCTCTAACTATGGGTATATAGTAGAGCATTTTAGACTCTGTAATCGTAAACATATATATATATATATATATATATATTGATGCATGTTTCATTAAATAATATAGACAAGTTTTGTATTTTTATGTAAATTCTTTTCATATCGTCTGATAAGCTTAATAACATTATCATTAAAAGATGAAAGAAAATCACCATATTGATACATATTTTTTAATCCTATCTAAGCTTTCAGCTTACATAAGCCATTATCAAAGGTGACAATTACATTACAATATATTAACCAATACACGGACAAAACAATAATGATAGTCTGTTTTTGTTTGCATGGAAGATTTCCAAGCAACAAAAAACTCGTGCATACGAGACGCTGGAAGCGAAAATCGCACTGCAGCTCATGACATCACACATGACCAGGTTTTTTCCTCATTAGTAGCACGAATCTGAGTTTCATGCACAACGCAATCTGAGTAATAATTTAAATATATTAAATATATCGGATTATCGTAATGGTGGGACGGTCCATATTTTATAAGCCCCGTATAAAATAAGAACCGCACTACCATTACGATAATCCGATATATTTAACATATTTAAATTCTGTAACGATCAGTCTCAGTTCAGCACATGAAGAGTGCATGATTAATAATTCGGAGCCATTATTCATTACATTATCTACAGATCTAAGCTTACAGCATCTGGCATCCCCAAGCGGTCACCGATCTAGGTACCGACCAGACTCGACGTTGCTTAACTTTGGTGATCGTACGGGAGCCGACGTTCCAACGTGGTGTGGCCGTAAGCCGTCGGACAGCCTTTGGTGTCAGAAGTATTTATTCCTCTTCGGAAAACCCAAGTTGTAACACTACAAATGAAACTTGTAGTCGCGGCCGACCGGCCTATCGACACCATTTTTATTAAATATTGGGTCTGCTATTAGGCATGGAACACAGATTTATATGTCTAAATAACACTTCTTAGGAAGTGAATTTGTTTAATCTCTCTCCCCCTCTCTTTTTTGTCTGTCTGTCGGTCGGTCGGTCGGTCTCTCTCTCTCTCTCTCTCTATATATATATATATATATATATATATATATATATATATCCGATGTGATATATAACTTCCAACGTTCACAGCATTAATCCAAAAGAGGGTTGAATACCGATAGTAGAGCGATAATTATTTATTTATTATAATTTTATAATATAGACAAAACCATTTTACTTACTACAAAGATGCAACGTCGTTTCAGTGCATTTCAACTGCACTTCGACGGGTGAGAATCGAAAAGGATTATGAACAATTCTGCTTGTAGGCAAGCCGTATATGAAACGCCACTTCTTTTTTTCCATTTGTTCGAGAAGAAAAATATACATTAAAAAAGAAAAGGTGGCGGAGTGAAACAATAGTGCTTGTTGATAGCAGTTTGGTGAAGAATGGATTGGGTGTTTAATGTTGACTGGTCATTTTCGATTCTCACCCGTCAAAGTGCAGTTGAAAAGTTGAAATCCACTGAAACGAAGTTGCATCTTTGTAGTGAGTAAAATGGTTTTGTCTATATGATAAAATTATAATATATATTTAATGGTTAAATCACACTGAAGGCAGCGGTATCCGTGCGATCATTGAGGATAAGCCGTGGGATACGAGCGTGGATGGCAGACAAGCTTCTCAGACTAGCTTTCTCACCATTACGCCAAACTGAGGTGCCGTGTTATTTATAGTATAAGCTTAGCTCAGTATGCCATAAGGCCACACTTATAGAGCACCCAGTGATGAGCTAACGCATTATTTAATAATAATAGCATAAGCAAACTCGCTCGCTCACCAATACCACTGAAGCAACTTTTGGTTTTACCAAAGCTTAGCGTTGCATAAGGACACAAATATGTGGCACTACTCAGCATCCAGTTCATTACTCATTAATAATGAGAAAGTAGCCTAGCTCGTTAACCATTACTCAAATACTGAGGCACTTGTTTACTAAGCTTAGCTTAGTGTGGCATAAGGATACAAATATGTGGCAGTCGCTCTCTCACAGACGTGCCGTCACCTCTCTCTGTCTTTTTTACAAATACTTTCATGGTAATTGCTCCGATGAGCTGCTTTCGCTGGTTCCTAGACTTCATGAATTCAAGCGCCCTACGAGACTGGCATCCCGCTCTCACCCTTTCACTGTTGAAACTGTTAAATTTAGCTGTCTCTTCTACTCCAATAGCTTCATATCTCGCACCTCTCGCCTGTGGAACTCCCTTCACTATTCCAGTTTCCCTGAGAGCTATAATCTCCAACTATTCAAATGTAATGTCAATTGACATCTCCAGTTGCCTTGATCTATCCACTATCCTTCGCCTCATCCTTTGCTCTATCACTCCTATCTGATCTTGCTCCAAATCCTCTGTAACCCCTTGCGTCCTAGTGGCTTCCCGCCTTGCTTTGGGTGAAATGCTTAAAAAAAAAAGAAACTAATCATCATCCAGTTCATTACTCATTAATAATGAGAAAGTAACCGAGCTCGTTAACCATTACTCAAATACTGAGGCACTTGTTTAGCAAGCTTAGCTTAGTGTGGCATAAGGACACCAATATGTGGCGCTACTCAGCATCCAGCTCATTACACATTAATAATGAGAAAGTAACCGAGCTCGTTAACCATTACTCAAATACTGAGGCACTTGTTTAGAAAGCTTAGCTTAGTGTGGCATAAGGACACCAATATGTGGCGCTACTCAGCATCCAGCTCATTACACATTAATAATGAGAAAGTAGCCTAGCTCGTTAACCATTACTCAATCACTGAGGCATTTGTTTTACCAAAATTAGCTTAGTGTGGCATAAGGACATAATTATATGGCACTACTCAGGATAAGGATCATTACACATTAATAATGGGAAAGTAGCCTAGCTCGTTAACCATTATTATGGTTTACCAAGCTTAGCTTAGTGTGGCATAACACCACAAGTGCTATCATCGAACCCACTACTCAGGAATCGAAGATATGTTTTAGGTTGATACAAAAGTTTACGACAGCTTTTGAAAAACTAAAACAAAAACGAAAAAATAATACTAAAAACAGGACAAAAGAAAACTTCTTTACTCATATAAATTCAGTGCGTCATGATTCAGTCAGTAGACTGAATTTCATAGTTTTCTTCAAAGTTTTGCTAATTTTCATCCACACTGTGTATTCCTTTATAAAAGAACGTTTCCACTTTTGATCCGGTAGATATTTCGAAATAGTGAATTTGTTTGAAACGAACACCAGACAAAGAGTGATGCATCAGATGAGACAAATAATAATCCAACGGTAATGGTATTGGAAAGTACACAGCTTCTTTGATAACTCAACGTTAACATGGCCTTAAAGAGTTGGTTAAATTATATTGTCTTCCTTGGGAAATTCCGGTTCAATCCCTGGGTCTGGTAATGCTGAAAAGTCATATAATTCAGGTGAGTGGAAGAAACCGACAAATGGAACAAAGCGCGAAAAGACTGTTGAATATTAGTCGATATGAAATATCTTCTAAATACCGAAAGCAGAAAGAGGACAATCCACCCGGGGCAAGCACAATTTTAAAAAAAATCTCAGGAAAATTAGACGTAGGTGGCATGGGTATGAGTGAGACAGAAACAGATATATACAGAGGTGGGGGTGGCAAAAAAAATCCTTTCTTTTTTTCTTTTTCTACGATACAAAGATAATTTTTAAGGCTAAACACTTCATTCAATCGACGGGAGATGTGAAAGCCTGCTGACGCTTTGATTTTAAGGGGAAATTCGATCAATAGAGATTTCGTAATAATTAATATTAAAATAGAAGTGAAAATGTTCAGTACATTTTTTTTAATCATTTCACCCCAAGCAAGGTGAAATTGCCACTAGGACGCACGAGTTTAATGAAAGTGAAAGAAAATGAGAATACTTTAGTGAGAAGAAAGGACAATAAAAGATCAGGGGTCAGAAAGACATTAGCGCTGTAATTAAATTTTTACAAATAGTAGGTGGCGGGGAAGCCGGAAATTGGTAAAGAATTTCACAGGCGAGAAGTGCGAGCAAAGGAACTTAGAGTAGAACAGATGGTAGAATCGAGCTAGTTCAAATAGTAAAACGATGAGAGCTCGTAACGAATCTAGTAGAACGCTTACATTCATGTAGTCGAGGCACCAAGGAGAAAAGCGTATCAGAACAAATGCCAAATATTTGTAGAAAAGACAGAAGGAAGCCACTTCACATCAATGAGGATGTAACTGAAGTAAAGATGCCAGATCAGGACCAATAATATTACAGACCCTTTTTTTTTTGATTTTGTCAAGAATATAGAGATATATAACAGGAGCACCAGACCAAATATGGCAATAATATGCAATGCACGGCCGGATGGGAGATATTAGAATTTAATATGAGAACTATAACTACAATATTACAGGTTCACATTCTAGCCTCTTTTCTAATTCTCATCCAACGTTTTTTTCCAGCTTTCAAATCCAGCTCCTAAAGCCTTGATTCTTATCAGAGATAAGAATATGTTTTCTGGCTAACGAGACAGCTGGAAAATTTCAAAAGGAGTTTGAACATCATTATCCTGTCCTTAGTGCCATGAAGTCTGGGAATAACGCTCACAACCTATCGCACCCTTGCCTCCAAAAAGCAGCCCCCCACCCAAAAAAAAAACCTTGATTCTTATCAGATAATGGAAAATATTTTCTAACAAATGAAATGGCCGGGAAATCTGTAGGAAAAGTCCCCGATATTTCCAGAGCCTCCTAATTTCTCTACGAAATTCTATTCTATATATTTCTATCTATATATGATTTACGCCTGTTTGGCAGTGAGTATTCGACCACCGTCTGTGACATAGGTTGGCGACAGAAAAGCAATCATCTTCAAGAAAGAACTACCTACTATGGGCTGTCGAGAAAAGAACGTCGGCCCACAACTAAAAACCAACTGAGATCTGCCTCCTTGCATCTAGAAGATATCTGTCGCCGACCTACGAACTCACTCAACTAAGAAATTCGTATCTTCCGACAGTTTCCAACTCTACAAAATCTCTGAACAAATCTGTGAGTGTTTTAACCTTTAAATAACAATCTGCTACTCGCTTAAAGAACTTTAGGCGCCCAAAGAAATATTTTGAGCAAACCTTTTCTTTTTTATGAACATTTTTTTCATCCTTTAAAGTTAAAGGAATTTCTTTCTTTCTCTCGTAATTGTGTATGTCATTGTTTTGTGCATCTAAATAAACATCTTCCTTTATTGTTACGCACCGAGCAGGAGTTTGAGTCTTTATTCTTCCGCCAAAAATAGAGAATTGTCCGCTCTAATCTTTCAAGCCGTTGTTGCTATCTTCAATTTTGTCACATTTTTAACCGCAACCGTTTCGTGCTGGAAAGCCGGGACAAATTTCCCACAGAGATTTATAAATGAGCAAGATGGATTCTGGCGAGAAACATTGTCTAGCACAACGGAGTGAACTAACTTTTTGGGCAGTAGACATAGTAATTAATTCAGTATAATCACTTCACTGATGTTCTGTCTTCTGAATTCCTTTTTTTATTTTTCGCTCACGCTAATAGACTTTTTTCATATTCTCAGTGTTATACAGGAAGAAAATGAGTAACTACTGACACCGATGTTCGAGTGTGACACTTTAGACTTATAAATAAGTGTTTTCCACCAGGTGTATAAAGAGCGGTGTCAGGCTACTGACTGGACTGATTATTGAGCGATTACTGAGTAACTATTGAGTGGAACTATCCAGTCGAATTAGTGTGAATTATTGTGCGTCGAAGATTTGGGTT